TCTGCATTTATTTTTTGTTTACCTCATTCAAACAAATATTTGTTGTAATTCTTTTCAGGGATTCCAAGGAATATCTGGTGAAAAGGTACAGTACTGATGCACTTATTTTCTGAAAAACTTTGTGTTGATTTGACTACAAATCAGGTGAGATGGCTGAAAGCATAAATAAGAAATAAAAGTGCATTAAAGGAGGAGGGAGAAGAGAAAAGGTATACCCTCACCTTCATATAGACACATTGTCTTAATTCATCTTCCCGTGTAAGTATCCTTAAGTTTGAAGATCTTTGGGATGAGCCTGATGCTGTTTAAAGGCTCGATCTTGTGATCTTTACCCAGGAGTAGTTTTGTTGACTCCCAAGAGAATAGAATCCGATGCTAAGTGATTCTGGGATTTATCACACTGCAAATTATTTTTGTTTAATTCAGGGCTTAGGGATTCACTTTTGCTTCCTGCAGTAAGATTGTAAAAACTTACTGTGACCCCTGGTGCCTAGGCAGCCCTCACTGGAAATGCCAAAGTCAGGGCAGGCTGCAAAAAGGAGAGCAGATTCTCCCAAAGACTGGTCATTAACACTGAAATAAACTCACCAACCAGTCACAAAGTGAGCTTCTGATCTTCCCCCGCTGGTTATCAAGAAGCAAAAAAAAAAGAAATCCCGCAGCCCCTTTATTGCATTCCAGTTCTCTGGCTCCCAGTCAACACCTAGGTCCAGTCCAGTGAGTTATTTTAAAACTCTGCTCACATATACAAAATGTTCCTCTGACCCCAAAGGGCCAGCCATGTTACTGGGTCAGTATAGGTTTGGATCTTACCCAAAATACCATGCTGCCAGCCAATCTTTTAGTGTGTCAAACTAAAGATTTAATTATTAAAAAAAAAAAAAAAAAAAACAAAGAAGAGAGTTGTAAAATGGTGAAGCAATCAAATACATACAGAGACTTCAATGTCCATATATCGGGTTCTTAGCAGTATTGGTAAGTTTGCTGCCTTGAAAGTCCCTCTGGAACACATCCACAGCTTGGATGGGTCATTCAGTCCTTTGTTCAGAGCCTCAGTTATAGAAAAGTTACTGCAGAGGCCAGAAGCAGGATTGAAGACAAAATGCAGATGATGATGATGCAGCCAGCTGCCTTTTAAATTTCTTTTGCCACGTGGCTTGTACTACTTTTGTTCCAAACACAAGTTGTCCAGCACAGGCCATGGAAAAACCTTAGTTCTGTCCATAGGCATGCCCCTATATGCCTTGCTCAGTCATAAGGTGTCTTTCCTGGTTCCTTTCAGTGGGTTCATTGTACAGTCAATGGACGTTGATGGGCCATCAAACAGGCTAGGCAGTGCTGATGCCAATCTGTCTGGGATGTCACCCATAAAAACAGCACAAGTTTGGAAATAGAGATATGCCTTCATATCTATAACTCACAATACAAAGGTGATACAAACATATAAATAAGATTATCATACTTGGCAAATCGTAACACATTTGCAGAAACCTCACACGTCATGTCTGGTCAGATTCCTTGCATTTTATAATATTGGTGTCAACTATATCATAGTGTCCCACATAATCCATACAGCATCTCACTTGCATTGAATTATAGAAATATTCACGTTACTGAAAATATAATTTGACGTGACTATTGCCACATGGAGCCAGCCCCCTATTAGCAATTATGCAGGGCCATTATGTATTGCTTGTGTTTAAGACACCAGTTTTACAGTCAAGAAAAAACAAGTCATTAAAAACAAAATACATGTCCCTGTTAAGGCTTTCATGTGACATAAAGAAAAAGAAATGTACTGGAATGACATAAAAGTTGGGTATCATTTTGACTTTCAGCTTATATTTATCTTGCTGGTCTTATTATTGGTAAATACTGTTCATGTTGGTCTCTTCCTCCTCATTCATTGTAGTGGTCACTTTCACTTTGGAAGTCTATCTGGACCCTTAAAGTTGACCAATAGCCTGGAGCATCAAAGGAAAATAAATGTGCAGATGCACTATTTTAGGGCCTCATTCTGCTCCTGTTCAAGTCCATGACAGCCAGGGACTGCAGTGAGTGTACTATTGGGGTTTTAATCCCTTTTAGCCTGTTTTGAGGGTTGGACATAGTGTCTATTCTACTGTTGTACTTAGGGCAGATGTAAGAAATGAGATATTAAGCATTAATTTGTATATTTTAAAATCTGGATGGCTTTGGCTTCCATGGTCAGCTACGGGAGTTCACACGGACACCATCTTTGCTGGACTGAGAACACATACTGGTTATTTAGATCACTGGGTCTTATATAATCCCTATCACTTTTGTTACCTCAGGGAGACAACGGGGAAAACGGGATTGATGGAATTAATGGAGAGCAGGTAAATAGTTTTGCTTCTCATTTTCTGTTGACCTCAATGAATGTTTTTTAAAACATGAAAACATTACTACTTTTTCTTTTCATTAAGGGATCACTTGGGTATCCAGGAAAGATGGGAGAAAAGGGTGACCCAGGCTACATGGTAATGATTTTTATTATCTTATTTGGGCAGGGTTTGAATTTGAGAGCAATCAGATAGGTATCTCATGAGGCTGTCCCAGTGAAAAAAACTTTAACTAAATACTTGGAGAGGGGAATGGTTTGATACATCAGTAAATTTGTGGTATTTCAGCTTATTAGAACTGGCACCAGAACACTAGTCATAATTTGTGTTGCATTAGAAATGGGGCGATCCATCTCTGCATAATCTCTAAGGTATTGTTTTGCTTGAAAATGTCCATTGTAAAGTTGTTCCATACAAAGAGTTTCTACTTCAGAGGTGTTAGAACAAATGTAGAATCTGAAAATATCATTTCTTGACACCAAAAAGCTCCCCTTTAGGGCCAGAACTGATCTATATTTAGTGGCAAAAACTCCATTAATGCAGAGTTAAGGTTATTTGGTGGTATGTCGTCCCTTGCAGAGTGTTGAGCTGAGCAAAACTCAAACATCTGAAAAGAGGGAAATGCAGAGTTGAGGTTGCATGGGCAACCTTATTCAGCATTGTGCCCCATTAACACACAGCTTCATTCTGCCAGCCTGATAGTCCACCTCCTTTTACAACCCATTCACTCTCATTTACCTCTGCATTAATGGAGTTTTTTGCTATTTAATTTCCTAGTTTTTTTAATCAGGAAAAATGTCAGTAGTCATTTGAGCAGTTGTACATACCAGCTCCTGCAATCAGTCGGCAATCCTCATGCGATGATGTACTCCTTGCTCTACAACAAACTCCTGCAACCTCGTGATCCAGGTTTGTTGGCAAGCCTGGCAGTGCACATATATTTCTTTTCCCTCAGTGCTGTGAGTTTCTAACCTCTGCACTGTCTGTCTTTGAAAACCCCAGGGTGGCACCCCCACTGGCAAGTGAAATACAGATTTTTTTTTTTTTCCCCCCTCAAGCAACAATCCAAGCTTTGGCTACCACCCATCCTCATTACCAAACCCATCTGCAAATGCACCTCTTCCTCTCTCCCTCCCACCTCACCTACACACAGTCCTCTGCTTCCATCTTCTCCCCATCCAATATAACACAAATTTTGGTTAGACCGACTGCTGATTATCCTGTTGTGTTCATAGTAAGCCTTCCCATAAAATAAAGTCATGTATTATAACAGAGAACTTGTAGCAAGCAACATGAGTTATTTAATTCTTTATTGCACAGCTGTACAAAGGTTCAGACTAGAAATATCAGTGACGGGGTGTTCACCAGGGCAATGGCATTGGCACATTCCCTCAAACTACTCAGGCATCCATAAAATGGCTGCATAGAAACCCTCTCACAGTTTTTTCGTTATTGGCTGTAATCCTGCCATACAGCATGTCTGCGGAAGCAAAGAAGTGAATGTGTTCTTAAATACCATTCACAATTTGGGTTCCCCAAAGACTTAATGGGAGCCATGCACTACCTTGGGTAAAAAATGACCAATGGAGACCATTTTGACCTGCATCACTGCAATAGTTTGATCTCTAGCTCTGCATAAAAACAACCCACCTAGAAACTTTGGAAAAATGGCTGTTTTCCTCAGGGCATATACCTCCAGAACCCCAGGCTCAAATGGCCCCAAATGTGGGTCACTCCCACAAGTTCTAGCAAATTGCAAGAATATCCATGCGAACATTCAGACTTCAGAGCACTTAGAAGCCTCAGCTTTAAACAAGGGTAGTGGAATGATGGCAGGAAAGGGGTCCCCTGCACATCCCTCTGCAGCGTAGGAGGCTCTGAAAGGTGTGAAGTGGCCCAGTCCTGTCAGTGTGAAGCTCTCGGCTAAACGAGAACACCCCATGGAGGTGAGTGCCACCTGAAACAGCTGTGTGTGTCAATGGCTCCATTCACCTTAGTGGGTGTTCCTATCCCCCTCCTGAGTGCTTTCCAGCCTGTGATATGCATGAAGTAGACTTGCTCTCAGCTCCCCAGTCAAAAGGGCAGGACTTCCCCAGATACTGGTTCATGTGGGGTGCAGGAAAGAGGACTCATTCACTTCTAAAAGGGCAACCCCCCCCCCCAAAACCTGGCTTACATGATGCTGGGGGGAGGGAAGATCCAACCCTCATAGATTAATACAGGGCCCTCAGATCCTGGCACACATAAGGGGGCAGCAAGAGGGGCTCAGGCATCCAGAGGGGCTTGGCATCTAAAACCCAGATCATAAGAGTGGGGCTTAGATCTCCCCTAGAGGGGTAAGAGCCCTCTAGCCCTGGGCATACAGATAGGGGGAGAATGTGGGGCTGACAAGTGCCGCTGCTCCTCTTGTCCCCTAGATCCTGCCACGCACCCTCACATCCCCCTTCCTAGTGCCTGATCCCTTCACTCCCCCAAGCCTCCCTCAGCTGAGACCCCAGCCTCTCTCCCCTGCATTCCATTTTATCCTCCTCCCCATAACACCCCTTCCTTGCTGCAGCCCCAAACTCCTCACCCGCTAATCTCCCACTGTTCTGCCCCCTGCTTTCCCCCTCACTGCCCAGGAAGCCTTCACGTGTCTGATTTTTCTCCCAAAGACTTTGGGCAGGGGAGTGTGGGGGGATGGTGTGCAGTGGCAGAGCTGGGGCTCAAGGGGTTGGGTGCATTGGGTGAGCTGTGGAGTACACAGGAGTTGGGTGCCCTGGTAAAGCTGGGGCTCCAGGAGAGTTGGGGTGCTCTGCCATAGCTGGGGCCTGCCATGCCTTCCTCACCTGAGTCACCAACGTCCCCCGCCTGCCCTACCATCCACCCCTCATTGCAGCCCCAAACCCCTATTCTTCCTCTTCTCCACTCCTAATACACCTCCACACCCAGGACCAGATGACTGGAGGGTAGCTAATGCAAGGCCGATTTTATTTATTTATTTTTAAGAAAGGCTCCAGAGGCACTGCTGGCAATTACAGGCCAGCAAGCCTAACTTTAGTACCAGGCAACTTGGTTGAAACTATAGTAAAGAACAGAATTTTCAGACACCTAGATGGACATGATTTGTTGTACAACGTGGCTTTTGTAAAAGGAAATAAAAAATACTTTTCAAACCAGGCAAAGCCTGTCACAGGGCTGAGAAATAGAACCCTCAGCTGCAACTGGCTCAGCTGCCTACACAACTGAGCTGCACCTGCTACTACAGAGTGTACACTGATTGATGTGGCCAGGTTTCCATTTCTCACTATGCAGGATTTGGGCTAATGGAGCTATGTAAACTTATAAACCAATGGCTGTGCCCCCAGTTCAATCCCTTCTTACATGGGGTTCTCTACAAGCAGGTTCCTCTGGAATTGAATGTTAGTCTGCTGAAAGCAATGTCAAGATTTGATCAGTTCAATATAGTTTCACCTCAGGCTGGTTCTGAGTGTTCACTATGATAAACTGAAGCGGGTACTCACTGTTTTTAGGGAAACTGATAATGTGCAGAGCATACAGTTATTCATCGTAACCACCTTGCAGAGTGCTGATTTTTACAGCCTTCTAAATGCAGTTTTATTTATTTATTTATTGATGGAGCACCTCAGTGTGTGTGTGACATTGTGCTAAACACAAGCTTGATAAATCTTCCACTGGCTGGAGTGTGTCTCACACTTAGATTAATTAACTGAAAAGCAAAAGCATTTAGTGGTATAAAATGTTTGGGAGGCTTGTGTAACTCAGTGAAAATAATTATAAAAGCAAAACTGGGTTTATAAAAAAAACAGATTCCTACTGTGCTTGTTGAGGAACAGATTCTGTTACTCTTAAATTAATTACTTTACTCTGCAAGTGACTCCAATGGGACTAATTGGATTAAGGTACATCTGATGGTAAATAAAGATGGCAGTATCTGGCCATGACATGTACTTACTCTGAAGGCACTTGCTAAATTATTAGAGTTACTACCAAGGGATCTCACAATACTGGGTGTTTGGGCAACAAAATGGCAGATGAACTTCAAGACTGATATGCACAAAGTAATGCACATTGTAAAAAAATAATTGCAACTACACATATACAATGATGGGTTCCAAATTAACTGTTACCACTCAAGAAAGAGATCTTGGAATCTCCCTGAGTAGTTCTCTGAAAACTTCAGCTCATTGTGCAGCAGTGGTCAAAAAGGCTATCAGGAAAGGTTTAAAAAAAAAAAAAAGTACTGAAAAGATCATAATGCCATTATATAAACCTGTGGTGCACCCTCCTCCCTTGAATCCTATGTCCAGTTCTGCTCACCAGTTTTCAAAAAGGATAGAGTGGAGCTGGAAAAGATTCAGAGAAGGGCAACAAAGACGATTAAGGGTATGGAATGGCCTTCATATGAGGAGAGACCAGAGGGTATGTTTTCACTACCCGCCAGATCGGCGGGTAGTGATCAATCTATTGGGGATCAATTTTATCGCATCTAGTGTTGACACGATAAATCGATCCCCGATTGCTCTGCCATCGACTCCGGAATTCCACCGCGGTGAGAGGCGGAAGCGGAGTCGACGGGGGAGCGGCGGCAGTCGATCCTGCACCGTGAGAATGCGAAGTAAGCCGAACTAAGATGCATCGACTTCAGCTACGCTATTCTCGTAGCTGAAGTTGTGTATCTTCGGTTGATTTCTCCCCCCCACCCCCGCCCCCTCAGTGCAGACCAGGCCGAAGAGACTAGCGCTGCTCAGTTTAGAAAACAAACAACTAAGAGGGATGTAATAGAGGTCTATAACAGCATGAATTGTGTGGGAAAAGTGAATAGAAAAGTGTTATTTACTCTTTCATACAATACAAAAATCCGGAGTCATAAAATGAAATTAAAAGGCAGAAGGCTTAATATAAACAAGAGGCAATACTTTTTCACACGATGCACAATTAACCTGTGAAACTCATTGCTGTGGGAAGTTGTGATGGCCAAAAGTATAACTGGGTTCAAAAAAGAACTGGATCAGTTCATGGAGGATAGGTCAATCAATGGCTATTAGCCAAGATAGTCAGGGTGCAACCCCCTGCTCAGGGTAACCCTAAACCTCTGACTAGTGAGAGACTGGGTGGATCACTCCAACTACCCTGTTCTGTACACTCCCCCTGAATCACTGGTACTAGCCACTGTCAGAGATGGGATACAAGGCTAGATGGACCATTGGTCTGACCCAATAGGATAGTTCTTATGTTCTTAAATAAACGTCATTAGCATGTGGTAACATTTTCTTTTCATTTTGAATAACAAAACATAAAATTGAAATGTATTTTCTCATGCAAACATTTAATGCTGGGGAATCTGGCAGCTGAAGATCATCCATTTTTAGAACTTATTTACTGACCATGGTTAATTACAACTGTAGTAATTGCTTTAAGTTTAATAAATTGCAGTTTGAATTTTCTTTTGGCATAAAGGAAAAAAAGCTGAGAACTTGTTGCTGTTTTGTTTACGTGTGAGCCTGAACCAACATTAAGAGCCAAGCTTGTCCAAAGTTGGAGGTGTTCCAAATCAACTCCACAGTCTGGAACTGTATTTTGTGAAGTCCGGTGACTTGATGATCGATTAAACAAAATCCTGGATGCAAACAACCCTGAACCTGGGGAGTTTCAAAAATCTGTATTAAAATGTTGGGACTTGTTCCTGTCTCTTGTTTTGTTAACATCAGCAGGAAAATGATTGTTCAGATTCTCACTCAGCCATTTTATGATTTCAGGGCAGTCCAGGGCCAAGAGGAATCCCTGGTGAGCGTGGTGAGAGGGGCTTACGAGGAGATCAAGTAAGTTTTCCTAGGTGCAAATCTATTCTATATTACACATGTATGACTCTGTGGGGTTCACCCAGAGCAGTAAGGGAGGGAGGGGTTGTCACCCTGGGTGCTTCTGTGCTGTGCAGCTTTGGCTCAAAGCCCTGGCACCAGCAGCCTGCTCACAGCACAATGGCCTCACCCTGGCTGCCACCAGCCTGGTTACTCCTTGCAGTGTGACGCCAACAGCCCTTCCAGTCCTGAGTCTCCCCAAAACCATCTCCCCTGCAGTTTTCCAGATCTTCTCACTGGATCCTCACACAACTATCAGGTTTGCTGCCTCCAAAGAGCAGAACACATACCAGCCTAGTAGTTTGGCTGAGGGATTTTAACCTTCAGTTTAATACAGAGCGCTGAGATGGTTTTGTAATAAGACAAGAATAAGTTGATTAACAAAGAACAGAGCTTTAAGTGACAATAAGTAAGACTAGAAGAGACAAGTTTAGTGACAAGTCAAACAAAACAAAACCTGCTTTCCAATGCCTACAACTTAATTTCAGCAAGTTGCAATCATTGTCTAAGCAGGTTTCTCCCCTGTAGTCAGTTTCCAGCTACTCTTTCCTCCTGGGCCAAGAGGTTCCACTTTTCATGCTGCTCCCCCTTGTCCCCTAGGTGGTGGATACCCCAAAGTCTTTAGCAGTTGCTTATATCCTCAAAGTTTATCTTTGTTTTCAAAGTCAGGAAGCCCAAATGATCTTCCTGTGATCCTTCAGGCAAATGATTAGCCCGTTGTTCTTGGTCACACCTGTCTTGATTTGCAACTGAGCCCAAGAGGAATTGGTCATTCTTCTTTGTCTGGAAAAAACCTGTTTTGCCTTGTTCGTCTGTTGACCGATTCTAAAATATAATATCAGAGAGTATCTATAATTTCACATACAGTGTTATTACTTACATTTCACAGTGATATTAATCATCAGTGTGGTGTTTTCAAATGATATGTTACAAGACACTTTTTAGACAAATATTGTGTCTGAGGTGCAGAGAGCTGGCCAGGCCAACTGACTCCTAGTCTTATACCACAGGGCCCCTTGGCATTGGGATGCTCTTAGGATCACAACATTAAGGATGTGAATCTAATCTCGAAACCTCACTTATGGTGCACAAGAAAGTGAATAAACTTGCAGGGAGTAAAAGCATCTGTTCAGATCTGCATGGGAATATGATATTCTTTCAAAGGTATGTTAGGACAGACGTGCGTGACTATTGTACTGTAATCCCAACAATGAGGATAATAGATCAGATAAACCTAGCAGATCTTAGCCTTTCACAATAATTATTTTCACATTACTTATCTGAGACGAGTACATCTGGGACATTTCATGAGCCCAAGTTATCCCATATGCTATACTTTCTGGAACAAAAAATGCACATGACCCTCCTTAAATGCCTAATCTCAACACCACGAATTTGTCTACATGTGGCTATGCAGATCTGTCAGTTGCCTGAGAGACCTACAAGAAAAATCCAGTACTATGGGACATCCTCTGGATTTATGATACTCTCTTTGTGGGGATTTTGTATCCATTCACTAGTGAATGAATTATGCTTATTCCTACACCAGTATGTAATGGTATTGCCCTAGGCAAAGATACCATGATGATAAGCAGTGTGTAAAGGCTGGTAGGCTATTAATCTTTGTCAGACATGACATGGGGCTAAATCCTGCAGACTTTTCCATTCTTCTTTCAGGGCCCAGTGCTGAAAGGTGCTGAGCATCCACTGTGAGATATGAAGTGCCGTCAATTCCCATTGAGAGTAAATGGGAGTGGGGAGCACTTACCTCTATTCCTCCTGCGTGCTGGTACTTTTTTGAATCAGGACCATTGTAGGATTTAGCCCTTGGATGGTGATCTTGTACTTTTGAATGATTACTTATAAAACAGAAGAAAAAAGTACAGCTCAGGATGAGGTTTGTTTTTTAAATAATATTCAGACAGAATATTCCTCTGTTTCAGAACATGATATTTAGGAGAACATTGATGAATGGAAATTACATAATGTGTGAAAAGGGACTGCAATGTTTTCTTATGTTTATGGTAGCGTGCCTCTCTGGGAATTGAAAGAGCTCTCTCTCCACTCCTTGAGTGGCATACCCTGAGGGTGTGGCCTGTCATAGTTGACAGGCCAGCTTGTGAGAGTCTGACTTCACTGAAAGGTGTGTCATATGTCATGAAATGCTGCAGCCCTAGCTGCTAATCGTTGTAGTACTTATTGGTCAGGTATAGCATTGCTGGGCTAGGTGTAAATGAGGAATGCAACCATCACAAATAGAATATGAGAAATGGAGGGAAAATATTACAAATACCTTATATTTCCTGTTCATTCATATCTTAAATTAGCTCCCTGGATTCTGTGGATTCAGCTGAAGATAATGTATTTCTCATATAATTCCTATCAGTTGTTTGTCGTTGTTATAATTATTCCTATTAGTTTATAGTAGTAACCACAATTTGCTAAGGACTTCTCAGACATTCTAATAGGGGTGGTCCCTGCTCCAAGGAGCTCACAGTCAAAGGCTAGAGGCAGACTGGCAGGCAGAAATTAGGGGAATGGGAAAGGAAACAACGAATAGGGATTTCTTTAAATTAAAGTCAGTTAGATGCACTGTAAACAGCTTGGCAAAAGTAGGACTTCAAGGGGGAAAGAGGAACAAAGTAGAAGGCTTGCCACTGGTCTCATGGAGGTTGCATAGGGGCTTCCTGGAAAAAGGCACTGGGGTAGTTGTGTGAGAAGCTGACAGATGAGAAAACAAGGTTGAGGACATTAGTGGGATGGGGTGAGGGTAGGACACATTGATAAGCCTGAATAAATATGGAGACACAGAATTCTAGGATGCCAAAATGGATGGGGAGCCAGTGAGGGGTGTGACATCATCAAATCAGTAGGGAATGAAGATGCATTCTGTCTGGTGTGACGAGGGCCTGACCAAGCAAGATGGCTGTGGAAATCACTATAAAAGGACAGATGATGTAGTTGGTGAGGAGGAGAAAACACCAGGAGAAGGCGGCAGGGCTGCCCTGTACTTCCAGTGTGTTCAAAGAGTGCAGTGTCACCTGTGACATTTCTAATACTTGGGTTTTTTCATGTTTTTTTAAGGGTGCCTTTGTGGTTAAAGTTTGCCCCACCGCCAAGACTTAGTGCCATATGCTCCCTTCGATCTGCAGTGCCCACACAGGACTTCCACTGATTCAAGTGGGAATTCTGTCTAGTCCTGAGAGTAGAATAATGACTCTTAATGTCCCTTTTGTCTACCCAGCGTATCCTAGATTCTGTGAAGTGTCACAACACTGTGATTTCATAAAAACAACAACTACAAATATTTTATCAATATTGTGTAAAGGCTGATATGTCTAACAAAGATTAATAGCCTAACAAACGGTTAACTCCAGCCGCGTTTTCCCATTCTTTTTTCAGGGCCCCATGCCGCAAGGTGCTGAGCATCTACTGTGAGATATTAAGTGCCATCAGCTCCCAGGGGAAATAAATTTACTTAACTTTGTGTCTTTGTTTAGGGTAACCCTGGATTGGACAATGACATAAAAGGGTCCAAAGGTTCAAAAGGAGAACAGGGAAGACAGGTAACTATTTAGAAATACGTGACTTTGCTTACTGTACATTGTTTCAAATACTAACCTACAATCCTTTAAAATATAGCTATATAGAGCAAATTAAAATTAATCAATTGATAACCAAGGCTGTTAAAAATAGTATGATAATTCTGTCGTTCCTAATTTTATACCACACAATATATCAGAAATCAACAAGATGACATTCAATAAAGGCAAGTGCAAAGTACCACACTTAAGAAGGAGAAGTCAAACGCACCACTATAAAATAGGGAATAATTGGCTAGGTAGTAGTACTGCTGAAAAGGTTCTGGGGTTATAGCGGATCACAAACTGAATATGAATCAACAATGTGATGGCGCTGCAAAAAAGGCTAATATTCTGGGAAGTATTTACAGGAGAGTTGTATGCAAGACACCGGAGGTAATTGTTCCTTTCTATTCGGCGTTAGTGGGGCCTCAACTCAAGTACTGTGTCAAGTTCTAGGTGCCACAATTTAAGAAAGATGTGGATGAATTGGAGAGAGTCCAGATGAGAGCAACAAAAATGATGAAAGGTTCTGAAAACCTGACCTACAAGGAAAGGTTAAACAACCTGGGCATATTTAGTCTTGAGAAAAGAAGACTGAGGGCGGGACCTGATAAATCTTCAAATATATTAAGGGCTGTTGTAAACAAGATGACCATCAGTTGTTCTTCAGGTCCACTGAAGGCAGGACAAGAAATAATGGGCTTAATCTGTAGCAAGGGAGGTTTAGGTGGGATCTCAGGAAAAACTTTCCAACTGTAAAGGCAGTTAAACTCTGGCGTAGGCTTCCAAGGGAGGTTGTGGAATCCGCATCACTGGAGGTAACCTGTCATGGATGGTCTAGGTTTACTTTGTCCTGCCTCAGCACAGGGGGCTGGATTTGATGATCTGCTGAAGTCCCTTCCAGTCCTACATTTCTATGGTTCTCTGATTCTAGCCTTATGGGTGATTTGCGATCCATGAATCTGCACTCTGCAGTCCAGCTTTGGAAGTGGTCTTACATTTTTTTTAAAGAGATGAAAAATAACCAAGGTGTGGATATATGATGAATAATCATACCTACTGTCATCTGTGGCATACCTATTATTATTTATTATTATTTAAAAAATTATTGTAGTAAATGAATGAACTTCCACAGAAAATCTTCAAAAGTGTGAGTGGGGGAAAGTACTTACAGCTATTTATGGGCCCAATATTACACAGTGCCCAGCACCCCCCAGAAGGTGACAAGCCCCCCTGAACTTCCATTGATCTCACTGTAGAGCAGTTATGGAGCACCAGTACAAGACTTGGATTATCTGCACAGGATGCATGAGATCAATGTTGACACACAAAACAAAATGGTAACTGTAATGACAAACATGCAGCACCTTCCAGACGAATATAATTTGAGGGCAACATCAGTGATTATTTTGATGTTACTGCTTTATGAAATGTACCATAACACAATGGCATTTCTTTGACATTATTTGACAATGTTGCATAGATGAAGTCGTGCAATTAAAAACTGTTTCTGTTCTTAATTCTGACAGATAGGTAAGAGGTTACAGAGGTTGTGTGCTCAAGTGTTATGAAAAAATTTTTTTCCCATTGCTTTGCATGTCCACTGTTTATTAAGCCATCTAGTCATGATATGGACAAATATAAAACGTTTGGAATTTGAGTGACAATTGAGATAACATGAAATTAAATTTCTCATTTCCAGGGTGAAAGAGGACCAATGGGCCCACCAGGGTCACCAGGCTCTCTGAGAACCACAGTAAGAACCCCTATAGATAAGGAGACTAAATATGCAAAGGAAATGCTTGAAATTAATCCAAGGTAGAAAGAATGATCTGAGTCCATACATTTAACCTTGATCGATTGCTCCTTTAGCCTCCATTCACTGCAGGAAGATGAGATAAATAAATCTGATAGATTGCCCTGAAAAAATTAACACTAGCAAGAGCCTCTAATTCCAGGCAAACACTTTCCTCCGGAATAGGACTATCCAACACAACTGACTGACTATCAGAGACAAAATAGCTTCCTCATTTCTTTCAAATTTGGAACCTACTGCAATACTGCCCAGTTTCTGTCCCGCAATGCCTGCTGATGACTTCACTTCTCTGCTTCTTTTTTCTCCTTCCAAAGAAAGAGAAATTCTGCAAAGATAAGGATTTGCATTAACATACTCTTTCTTCTGGTGTGGCAGTGTAGCGGGGCCACCAGGCTCCTGCCTCTGTCCCAGCCTAGAAACTACTCAGAGATCCTTGTGCTGGTTCAACACCTTGTGCAGTTTATTTACAAATGGATTCCCACCACCTTCATAATACATACAGCTCTTGTAACAAGCAGGGGAGTGCAATCTCTCTCTGCTTGCTTCCCCCTTTCCACTTCCTTTCTGTACCTATTTGTGGGCTCTGCCTAAGGGCTTAATTAGCCTTTCTGCCCTTCCTCACCCACAAATTAGGCACAGCTCTGCTTAATCAGCTCCATTCTGCCTTGCTTGATTGGAGCTGCTGTGAACAGAGTGCTGACTCGGCCTTTCTTGCCTAGCACTCTGTCATAGGCAGTTACCAATAAGAACAAACTAAAGAGGTGGGAACCTTTCTCTCTGCTTGGTGGGAAATGTCTTTAAGCTCTACTGCCAAAACCAATGTTATAAACACATCTGTTTTGCCAGGGCGGACAGGGCATGAATGTTTTAGTCCTTCTCTTGGCACAGCAGGACTGAAGTGTGTGAGCAGTAAGCAAAAGTGATAGCAAAGTAATTTCCTGACACATCCATAATAACTTTCGCATTTGCTTTGCTCTCAATCACTGTTCTAGCATGTACAGTAACTTGAGCACGTAGTAAAGCATTGTGTGAACGTCAAATTATCTGGGGGAAAAATTGACATAGTTGCCACAGCTTCTCTAGTGTTTGTCATTTAATTGAGAGATATAACTGAGGTCTAATAGATGTCTAACAAACAACTATCTTGTCTTGTGTCAGGGAACAAAAGGTCGAAGAGGAACACCAGGTCCACAGGTAGGTTTCCTTAATTTTCCATATCTACAGTAGGAGTAACGTGGGAGCTTTCCTGCCTTCTAAAATATTTGCAGAGAGAGTCCAATATTTATTTTAAATTTGTTATAGCATATAGGATAAAGGATAAATCCTGCTTGCCTTACTCAAGCAATTAATCAGTGAGTTCAGTGATACTACTTGTGGGTCCTAGTTCAGCAATGCGTATGCTGCACAAGTCCCATTGAAGAACTAGTCCCATTCATGAGAACCCATGCTGAAAGCCCATGCTGTTGTCTCAGTGTAATCCATAAAGTCGTGTGTGTATTTAAAAAAAAAAAGGCCAAAAATGGCTGAGAACTTCAAGATTGAATGATAACAGACTGTCAATCCCAGTGATGATTGAACCTGGTGCTAGTATAAACAAAAGGAGCTTTCAGCCATACCTGTACTTGTTTTCATCTCTTCACACTGAGTGTACAGACATTCTAGGCTTCAGAGTGACACACAAGAGTGATAATTGTGGAATGTCATTGTACTGAGTAAGCCTGTGCTGAGATACTTTGCTGAATAGACTTGGACTATTGAATCTAGGCTTGCAAGTATGAGGTGAGCAGGATCAGGCCCTCAAACTACAACGAGCACCATAAAAATCCAAATTGTACAAAATATGGCACTGTAGAGCATTAATAGTGAAATAATTTGGATGTATAATATTTTATTTGAAGGACACTATCAAATCAAACTTGAGTCTAAATGAGATCTTGTGACAAGAAGCTTTTACAAAACTTGAGAGCAATAAAAAAGTTTCCGTAACTTTCCATGGCAACAAAAATAATCATTTCCCTGCAGTGTTTTCAGTTCAATCAGCACTGAGACACTAAAAGTGAAACTGAGATTTTTGTTGTCAAAGGCAGAGAAATGAAAAACTGAAAATAAACCAGAATAAATATTTTCAGTTTTAATCATCTGAAATATTAGAAGTGTGTTTGTTTTGAGAAGATTTTTGATCTGGTAACATTCCTTTAGAAAATACTTTTTTGCTCTTTAAACAAAGATCAAGACACATTATGTTGCACAGTACCTAGTACTGGATTGCATTGTATAGGCACTGCCCCATGTTAGGAGCAGTATGGGATAGAATCCAGAAGACATGCACATTCTGCTTGCCTCTTTGAGGTCTATAGATGTGGTAGCCTCACCGAGTCCTTGGGCTGAGGTGAGTGCAGAATTGTAATTGTGATGTGCCTCTCAAGAGGGGTAAAACGGGGCAGGAGGCTCCTTGCACTCTCCCTCAGTTATGCACAATTGTATGGCAGGGTATTGTCCAACTGCTAAACTGAAAAACCATGTTTCAGGCATTTTGTCTTATAACAGCTGCCTTGGTTATAAGTTCAGCCTGCTTTGTGGCAATAAATGAGCTTCTCTTAATTTCTGGATTTTAAAAACAATTTTTTTAAATCCATGCGTTGCAACGACCAACTTTATTAAAAATATGGTAGGATATGCTGATAGTCTGTGAAGACACTATGCTAAGAAATGTAATTTGATCTAAATGCTGACTCTTTAGAGAACCGTCACTTAATGAAAAGAAAAGAGGTGTTCAAATGCCGAATAAATGGTATTAGAAATTGAAAATATCATACTGTTCTCCTGGCAGATCAGTCACTGTTATGATCACTTGAGAAAATTGTTACAAGATTCTGTCTCTTAATACAGGGGGAGAAAGGAGCTCCTGGTTTGACGGGCTTTCCAGGAGAACCAGGATTTCCAGGATCCCAGGTGAATATTAACATTCATCTAGGTCAGGAGTTCTCAAACTTCATTGCACCATGACCCCCTTCTGACGACAAAAATTACTACGTGACCCTAGGAGGGGGGATTGAAGCCTGAGCCCACATGAGCCCCACTGCCCTAGGCATGGGGGCCAATGCCAAAGCCTGGTGGGGCCAAAACTGAAGCCCTTGGGCTTCTGCCCTAGGCGGGGGGCCTGTAACCTTTGGCTCTGACCCCAGGTGGTGGGATTTGGGCTTTGGCCCCGGGCCCCAGCAAGTCCATTGCCAGCCCTGGCAACCCCATTAAAACGGGGTCATGACCCACTTTGAGGTCCCGACCCACAGTTTGAGAACCGCTGATCTAGGTATTTTCGAGGAGAAGGAGGACTTGAAATACAAAGGAGAAATGCAATAGTCTATGTCCAAAAATCATATGACCCTGTGTCCATACTCACACAAAGCTTAGTCCTGCCTTGAGTGCAGGGAACTGGACTAAATTACCTCTCGAGGTCCCTACCAGTTCTATGATTCTCTAAAGCACAGTCAACATGTGAGTGAATATATTGTTGGTGGCTGTGAAGCACTGGCAGCATTGGTTTGAGTCAGGCATAGCATAGTAAGGCAGACACAGTGCAAACCTCCCCTCACAGCTCTGCCTTTTGTGGCTTGCAACACCTCTGATGTTCCAGTCCTGCCCTTCTGTTGAGCAAATACTGCCCAAGTATGCCTCCTATCTAGATCTGGACTTCTGACCACAGTTTTCTGTGGCCCAGATTGGAAGCCTCGTCCTCGCGTTGATGAGTAATCCAGTGAAATAGCTTGTGGACCCAGAGCAAGTGTAAGGGATTCACAATTTGGCCCCGTGTGATTTTTAGACGTATGTTAGATCCCGGCATGGTAAATATGGATATAGATTCACTCTTGCAGGTACAAGGGCTGCAAATTGAAGAAACTGTATTGGGGATTTCCTTGAAGCTAACAGCTGGGGATGCGGCTGCACCAGAGGGCCATCCCATGGGTGCGAATCCACATCCTTCTCAGCAAACCTATCTCATCCCCTCCAAATTGCCCCATCTTCTGACTGCCAGATGCTGGGACTGGACGTCAGGGGATGGATCGCTTGATAATTGCCCTGTTCTGTTTATTCCCTTCAGGACATCTGGTATTGGCCACTGTCGGAAGACAGGATACTGGGCTGGATGGACCATTGGTCTGACCCAGCATGGCCCTTCTTATGTTCTTGCATGCACCTGGACCTCTTCAGCAGGAAGGGACTTGGGGGTAGCTGAACTCCTGTTCTTGACTGACTGTTTGCTATGGGAACCCAGTGTCTGTAGCTGTGTGTGCTAGAACTCACTGATTACTTTTTCTTTACATTTGTAATGCTTTGTGTTTTGCTTTGGTGGGGGGTCCTGGTACCACCGGGGACCTTTGCTGACATCTTAGTAGCCTCCCTTGAGGGTATCTTGCCATCTGGACAGGATTCCTCCCATCCTTCCCCCTACAGATCTCCCTAGTCCTCCCTGCTCTTCCTCCCCCCTCACCTCCCGTATGCAGCTGGAGAGTAGCTGTGCCCTTGAATCTTTGTTTCCCTGTATGTAAAATGAGGAGAATACCTCTCACACTGTGATGATATAAGGATGAATCAGGTGTTGTTTTAAGAGCACTTTCAAGACATAAAGCCTATATAAAGGGCTAATCGGTGTTATTTCATAAGACAGGGTATTTAATATATGCATTTGTGTGTTAACTGGATTTTCTGTCATCTAACATACCTTCTAGGGAGAAAGAAGAATTGCAGGTGTGAAAGGAGAGAAAGGAAGTGAAGGAAATAAAGGTCTTCAGGTAAAAATACTGTGTGAAGTTCATTTAGTGTTCTACTCACTATGTGTGTAACCAGTAGGAGACTTCCATTTTTACTGCTGTTTTACTGCATTCTTTGTTTCAAAATTCCTGTGCAGTGTATCATGCTATTCTGTCAGAGAGAAATGTATTCATAAGAGACTAAAGGAATTTTAAACATCTCAGAGCAATGCTAAACTGTTTTACATTATAAGGAAAAAAATCTGCAATAGCTATATAAAAATTCGTTTATATTCTGTCATGACCCACCAGTTTATTTAAGGGTACAGGAGCATGTGTGTGTGTGTGTGTGTGTGTGTTTGCATAAATATTGCTAAACATAGATTAAAATAATGGTTTTAAGATTGTAAAATGAACTACTCAAGAGTTAGAAAATAACAGAACTTTTGCTTTATGATAGTGTTTAATTAAATGACATACAACTATGAGTCTCGGGAAGCTGTAACTGGTACCTTGAGAGCCACAGAAACTGCACCACTGAGTCTGAACCACGGTACAGCCACCGAATCTGGACCCATCTACTAGATAATTTAACAAGAAAGCTATCCAGATCTTCTTCCTGCTCTCCATTTGGCAGGCGGAGCAATTATCAGTTTGATTTTTCTAGGCTGGGTTTTTCAAACGTTGGGGGGAAATTCCCATTGAAATCAATGGGATGAGATGTGCTGAGTACTTTTAAAATCTCACCTAACATTTATATTTGCTTAGTTGCCGTACTTGCCTTTCTCTTGGCAGTACTGTCTAAAAGAAATGTCTGATTCTGTTGCTCTCTTTGCTATTTTGTATTTGGCACTTTGCATCTTAACTGAGCAGCTATATTTTGCATGTTTCCAAAGTATTTACGGTCAATTTAGCATGCAGAGAGGCTAGATCCCTAATTTCTTCCAGGATTGTCTTTATTTCTGACAAGTTGCCACCTTTCTTGTGACCAGAGTCTCTGGAAAACCGTTGCACTGAAAGAGCTAGACACACCAAGTTTCAACAATAGAAGAAACTGTGTTAGGGAGTTCCCTGAAGCTAACAATGGGTCTTCTCCTGATTCTCTCGTGTAAACTTCCTTCAAGCCATATATGTTGTTTGGGTAGATTTGTGTTCGAAAGATGTGGCCACTGTGACAAAATAAAGTGAAACAAAATTCTGTTTCTGTTTATGATGGGAGTGGGGAACTCCCATTGAAATCAATATGATCCATATAAACCTGCTACAAAGCAGTGGAGATTGTATCCACGTAACTAAAGACAGAATTAGGCCGTTTTGGTTTATATATGACTAATATGGAGACTGTGTGGATGAGAAGCCAGTAGTAACTTTGTCTCGATTATTTTTTTTATGAATGAAGATTAGGTTTTAAGTCTACAGTATAATCACTTTATAGACACGTCTCTATTTGTCTGGAATTGAGAAAGCAACGTTTGATGGATACTGAAAAAATGTTCTGTACCAGTAAAACTAGTGAATGGCCTTCATCTTGTACAATGTTGCTGCCATGCTGGTAGGAAAATAAATGTTTGGTCTAGACTTGAAGCAAAGAATCTAAATGTTATTGATGTTGACTGCTTTTGCTGCCTGCCAGATGTCTATGGGAAAAGCACAGGTGGCACAGTTGAGACTAGATTCTTGTCATTCTACATGAAGTGCTAATGTGGTGGTGTTTGTTGAATCTGGGCCATTGAACATCATTATATGGTTGTTACAAGTTGCAAAAAGAAGCAAAGTAATTTGTTTGTTTTTTTCCCCCAAAATTCTCACGAAGTATCATATGTTCATTTAATTTCAGGGTGAACTGGGAGCTGCGGGTCCAAAAGGGAGTCCTGGGAGTCCTGGAATGAGAGGAAATAAAGTAGGTTTCATTCCTTTAACTACTTTTGTTGTTGTTTTAAAAGTTAATTTGTTTGTTCCCACCTGAAGATCTTGCCTTTGAGCCTGCTCCTGAAAAAATCATTCAGGCAAAAGTCAGTGGCAGTTGTTGTTTTTTTTGAACGACTACAGGTCTTTGACGTCAGTGGCAGCTGTATGCACAGTTCAAGGGCCGTGCATAATCATAAGTAAGGCTACGTTTCAGTCATGGGTATTTTTAGTAAAAGTCATGGACAGGTCACAGGCAGTAAACAAAAATTCTCAGCCCGTGACCTGTCCATGACTTTTACTATATCCTCCTAACTAAATCTTTGTCTGGGGGTGCTTCGGGTGCTCTGGGGGGCTGGGCTGTGAGGGGGCCACAGGTGCTGGGAGGGGGGTGGTCAGGCTACCCCGCTGGTGCTGAGGGGGATACGGGCAGTGGTGGCAGCACACGGCTCAGGACCCCCGCTGGTGTTGTGGGGAAGGTGGGTGGTGGCGGCGCACAGCCCGGGACCCCCACTGGTGTTGGGGGTGGGGGGGAGGTGGTGCATGGCCTGTGATTCCCTCTGGTACTGGGGGAGGGGGTTGGCCAGGCTGCAAGCTCCCTACCTGGCTCTGACAGGCAGGCCCTTGCAGCTCCTAGGGGGAGGGACGTCCAGGCAGGCTCCGTGTGCTGCCCCTGCCACAAGTGCTGGATCCACAGCTCCCATTGGCTGGAAATAGCAGCCAATGGGAGCTGCTGGGGTGGTGCCTGCGGGCACAGGCACCATAGGCAGCGAGTTAAATGGGCTCATGGTGCCCAGGCTCCAGCAATATTCAGGGCCCGGGAGCCCAGCTACCAATGTTCAGGGCCGGGTCTGTCCCCTGGCCCCGCCTGCCACCCCCAGGCGCCTCCCCCGAGTGTCCCCTGGCACCTACTTGCTGCCCCCGCTCACCTTCCCAGGTCCCTGGAGCAGATCATCCCTGTCTCTCCCTGCAGCTACATGCCGCCACAGAGTCCTAGTGCCCCCCCACCAATATAGCCATGGCAGGCTGACCCTGAGCCTGCCCTTCCCCCTCAGACCCTTTCATTTTCCAATGAGACCCTCCACAGCACAGAGGGGCCCCCTGCCCACAGTCACCGCTCCTGCCCCATGCTGGACATGGGGCAGACCCAACCCCACTGCGGTTACAGTGAGGGGCAGCAGCAGGGGAGGAGGCGCACATGTGATAGCAGGCCTCGCCCTCGCCCTCCCTGGCACCCACCACAGGGGAGACAAGGGGGCTTCCTGTACCTGAGAGGGGCGCTAGGAGCACATGCAGTGACAGTGGTGCAAGGTGAGTGTGGTGCAGAGGGGAAGTGTGTGGGGGGGAACCTCACCCGGAGCTTGCTTCTGCCTGTGGGGAGAGGGCTCTCTGGCCCTTGCCCCGGGGCAGCCTGTCTGCACCCCAAACTCCTCATCCTCAGCCCTGTCCCACCCCAGAGCCCTCACCCCCTGCACCTCAACCCTCTGCCCCAGCCCTGAGCCCCTCCCACACCCCAAACCCCTCATCACCAGCCCCACCCCAGAGCCCTCACATTTTTACATTATTTTAAAAAATATACAGTAACTCCTCACTTAATGTTGTAGTTAGGGTGACCAGGACAGTCCCAATTTTAACACGTTTGTCCCGCCTCCCAACCGCACATCGGTCGGGATGCCCTTTGTCCCGATATCGGGGACCGCTCACCATCACTGCCAAAGTCCCGGGGCTGGCATAGCGGTGCTTCCTGGGGCAGCTCCTGGCGGCGCACCCGCTGGCAGCCCCTAGGCACAGAGGCGGAGGGGGTCTCCGAGTGCTGCACCAGCTCCTTCCTGCCCAATCAGAGCTGCGGGGGTGGAGCTTGCAGGCGCTGGTAGCGGGCAGAGAGCCCTCCACCCACCCGACCTGACCCAACCTTACCCTAGGAGCCAGAGGGACCTACCGGATGCTTCCCGGGAGCCACCCCAGGAAAGCACCGCCAGGATTCCCCAGCAGGTCCCTCTGGCTCTTAGGGTCGAGGCCACATGCGCGGCGCAGAGCGCCGGAGAACGCCACCCTGGGCACCTGCCATCCCGGGAAGTGCAGCGAGCCGGCGTAGCTGCGAGCTGCGGGAGAAGCCTGCCCCGAAGTGGCGGCGCAGCGCCACTAAGGGAGCTGCCGCCGCCTGGCTCCGGGTGGCTGGAGGGGGCCCCGGCACCGCCCTACCCCGCAGGCCATGTAGCTCCGCTCCCCACTCACCACGCGGACTCTGTTCAGTGCTGGACTCTGTGCACGCCAACGGAGTAAATATCTCTCCTGCCCCCGCCACGCTGCCCCCACGCGGCCGCCATGCCCCGGCCGCTGCCCGACAGCAGCCATGACCCAACGAGGGCATTTGGCCGGGGATTGCAGCTTGCAGCGGCTGGAGGCGGAGAGGGCACCGAGGGGTCCATAGCAGAGAGCAGGGGCCTTGATGTGGGGCAGTTTCCCATGTGCCCCCCAACTATCTCCCACAGCGGGGGTGGGGGTGGTTATAATGCCAGGCGGGAGAGTCAGTGGCCACTCTGGGTGAGTGTGCACCACAGTTTAAGCGCAGGGTTAGTGGGATTTGAGTCAGCTGAGCTGTGTTAGGGAGCCCTGGGCTTAGGGTGATGGAAGGTCTTATATAGGCAATTATTCCCCTATATTAATCACCACCCCCCACCCCCCAAAAAAGTGTCCTGATTTTTTTACACTTGCTATCTGGTCACCCTAGTTGTAGCAAGCTCTGTGGAGAGTGGGGGGGGGGGGCAGGAACGGGGGAGGGGACACACTGACAACAGCACCCCTCTTCCCCCTCCCCTGCGCATAGGGTGACCAGACAGCAAGTGTGAAAAATCAGGACAGGGGGTGAGGGGTAATAGGAGCCTATATATGAAAAAGACCTCAAAATCAGGACTGTCCCTATAAAATCGAGACATCTGGTCACCCTACCTGCACAGCAAGCAGGAGGCTCCCGGAGCAGCTCCAAGGCAGAGGGCAGGAACAGCACAGGGCAGTGGATGGGAGGGACACCTGAACTGCCCAGCAATTGATAGCCTGCTGGGCGGCAGCTGCACAGGGAACTTAGGGGAGCTGATAAGGGGGTCTGTTGGCCCACCCTGGTTCCAACCTCCCACCAGCTAGCTTCAATGGGTTGCTCTTTCTGGACAAAGCAGGCGGCTGCCAAACAACACTATAAGGGAGCATTGGGCAACTTTTAAATGAGCATTTTCTCTAATTCAGAGGTTCTCAAACTGTGATCCATGGAACACCAGTGGTCCGCGAGCTCCATTCAGATGGTCCGCGGATAGTTCCCTCTAAGGTGCACTCCTGGGCGGCCGCACATGAGAGAATGAAGGGCCACCCACCTAATTAGTGGAGCCACACAGGCGTGGCTCCTCTAATTAGGTGCCTGGACCCTGGAGAAGATGCACGTGTAAGGTGAGGTGGTGGTCTTGGGGGGAATAGGGAGTAGGTAGGAGGGGCAGTGGTGTGAGAAGAGGGGGTGGGAGGAATTTGGGATGTGCAGGGCTACGGTGGCCAGAGAAAGAGGCTCAGGGCTGCAGCTGCAGGGGAGAGACCCCCTTCCTTCGCAGCTTCAGCTCTGTGGCGGCTGTGGCAGGGGAGAGACCCCATGTCCTTTCCAGCCTGAGCTCAGGGGCTGCTGTGGTGGGGGAGAAAGGGAGAGGCCCACCCTTCTTCCCAATCCCAGCTTGCAGGCTGCTGTGGCAGGGGGGAGAGGGCACATCCATCGCATTAGAAAGATTAAGACTACTGATATTAAAATATGAGTTGTGTGCTTTTATGTGTAGAACAAAAAAAGTTAATTATTATTTGGGGGGGGTTATATAGCACTTTTATCTTTACAATAGTTAGCTTTACAAAAGCGCTTTACAATAGTTAGCTAATGGTACATACATCATTTGGAAAGATCATTAAGTGGTCTGCCAAGACCCTCAGCAATTTTCAAGTGGTCTGTGGAAAAAAAAGTTTGAGAGCCACTGCTCTAATTGATCAGCAACGTAACAACAAAACAACGTTAACTGGGACAACTTTAAGTAAGGAGTTAAGTGAGTGTTAGATTGGCTTACAAGGCAGGTGGGGGGGGGAGGGGGCGATATGGGACTTGGACCTGTACTGGGCACCACCAAAAATTATACAAACCTGCCGCCCCTGCGGGCAGCGCGCAGAGCCCCCTGGTCCTTCTGCCTAGAAGCTGCAGGGACATGCCAGTGGGAGCCGGGGAGCCCCCCCACACTGAGGTAAGTGCCGCCCCGCACCCCAACCCCCTGCCCCAGCCCTGAGCCCCTTCCCACACACCCAACCTGCTGCTGCTGGTGGCCCAGGGGCTGCCCTGAGCCAGCCACACTGTCTAATGCAGAAGTTACAGAGGTCACGGAAAGTCATGGTATCTGTGACTTCCATGACCTTCATGACAGACACGCACCCTTAATCATAAGTAATTAAGTGAGATTTACTGTTTATATTTATATTATATTTATATTTAGGATTGTAGCTTCTACAGTATTCAGTTGGATAGAAGATTAATCAGGCTCTGTGGGTTTAAAAGATATTACTTACAAGTCTGAGATCATATTAATTGCATTTAACAGGGAGAATATGGTGATCCTGGAGCGACGGGACCGAGAGGGCCACCAGGTCAACGGGGAATTCAGGTTTGTGTTTTATTCTCTCCATGTGCAGTGCGTGGCCAAAATCTAGTCCTTAATTTATAAATTGCCAATCCTGTCACTTCTCTCTGTCCTCCTGACATTTGGGTTGCTACACAGAGACTTAATATAGACATTAATAGCTGGAGTAAAGCACAGACTGAAAAAACAGATGATTTAAATATAACTGTCTATTCACAGGGAGAAGATGGTGCTGCTGGTTATGGTGGACCAGGAAAGAAAGGAGCAAAGGTAAACATGGAAAAAGGAAAAAGAAATGGAAACTCTTAACTTGTTTTTACATTATTTTAGTGAGAGTGAAAACTGCAGGGGAAAAAAAAGTTGTTTCATTATCATCTCTAATGTAAATCCTGCAATCTGATCCACACAGACAGACTTCTGCACTCACTGACTTCGCAGGGGCTCCATAAAAATCCACAGTACGGATCATATTGTAAGATTAGGGCCATAGGTTGTAAAGTCATTGGGGGTGTGTGTGTGGGGGGAGGATTGTTTTTATTTGTCTAGCAATTGCCATGTGTGTCTATGGCAACGTATAAACATTAGAAAATAAGTTATGAACTCTTAAAATTAGAGTAAAAGGTAAAAATAGAATAGTAATAATAACCCAAATTATTTATTGGAGCGTTATTTTAATATTGTTGTTGTTATTGTAACAATATTTTAATGCTGTCCACACTCCGGAAGATATTGTTCCTGCCCTGAAGGGCTTCCAGTCTGAAAAGACAAGCAACACCTGAAGGGTGCAGGAGAGGGATAGAATCAGATTATATATCATTCCATAGATCTATTTTATATAGCTTAGATACATCTTACAGTTAAATAAGTTCACATTTACATTTATCATTATTTACAAAACCTCTTTTGAAATGAGAGAAAAAATTCTGCCGCACTAAAACTAATCAGAGAATAGTTCTAATTTATTCCAAAAAATGCTTCCAGTCCCCTCTACTCTGAACTGTGCGGTCTAATATTTTGATATATCAAATCTTTCTGTCATAGCCACAGATGCCTGACAGCCTAGTCAGTGCCCGTTCACTGTACAGTTTCTATCTGTGTTTAGGAAAAACTAGTAAAGTTATCCTGGAGTATTTCATCTTTACATAGTCACTTCTTTTTAATTTATCAATGCAATTAGGAGCACATGACTAGCCCAGTAAAGTACAGTGCTTCTTTATATATATTTTAAATGATATACGTCTGAATAAAATAAAGGAGAATGGAACACTTTTGTCCTGGGTAACTACTGCCAGACTCCCTGAACTTCTCCATCCATGTCTTTTAACCCTATTAATGCAAACCTCACCTTAAACTCCCTTCTTCTGGCAAGCTTATCCCACTTTAGTAACATGCTGTCACACCCCTACTGTGCCTCTTGCCATTCCCCCTCCCCAAATACTTCATGTGTTCTAAGGACTTAATCCAGAAAGGTGCTCCCGTTGGGAATTTAGGGTAACCCGCACATAGCAGGATTGGGCTCTAAACTTCCTGGTCTGCAGATGTATTTTGGGTGCAATCCAACTCCCATTAAAATCAACGGAAGTCTTTTCATTGACTCAAACAGGAGTTGGATCTGGCCCTTTATGCATCAATTGTATCATTCCGTTTAAATTATAAGCTTCTTGTATCAGAACAGTGTCATCTTCTGCATTTTGTATAATCCATGTTAGCACCTCAAAAAATAATAGATAGCAACAATAATACTGTTTTCCAGCACATTGCCAGTTTCACTGCTTATTATTTATTGGGTTATGTGTCTGATTCTGAAAAGTCAAATATAGTAGAAAAAACTGAGTAGAAATATCAATGTGGTGATGATTTTATCTTATTTACTGTAAATAACAGGGACAAGGAGGATTCACCGGAGATATTGGACAGAAGGTATCGTACTTCACATTAATGTTGTAGCTTTCTGATCAATAGACTTGAGTCTCCCCTCCATTACACCACTTTTGCACCAACAGAACTCTGCTGCAGTTAACAGTTATGTTGGCATAAAATCAAGATAAAAGAGTGGAGACTTTAAGGATGGAAATAGGTTTCAGTGGTAGATTTTTGGTAGAATAAAAGAAATATTCTTGATGTTTCATGGGAAGAAAGTTCTGATTTATCTGTCAACATCTGAAATTCTTTGATACTAAAGGGTTAAAAAAAATCTTGTCTGGTCACCTTATTGCTTGGAAATTTTAAACTGTTTTTAAATTTATCAATTTTAATTAGTGTGTCATTTTTGAGATTGTTGGTGAAGTCAGATCTTACATTTAGAAATCTGCTGAAATAGTCTCTGGGAACATAATTCTCTAAATCTAGGAATAGCTATGTGTTGTGCCTGCAGGTTTAGGAGTATGTGTCCCACTTCTTCCTGTCAGTAACGTGGAGCAGGTAACAGATCGTGTCAGCAGTTACAAAGCACAGTTATCCAAAGAAAGTGCCAGAAAAAATCCCCAGATAATATCTTGCACAGCCTTAGATGCACTTTTGCATTTTGTCTCTTAGTGTTGTATATGAATCTGTGTGTGATATACATAGTCTATTGAAGCTATGTGTATGAAAAATACACTATTAACTAGACTTTTGTGCTGTGCGTTACATATGAAGTATGATAGGGTTACCATATTTCAGCAAGCAAAAAAGAGGACGGGAGGAGCCCCGCCCTAGCCCCGCCCCTG